GTGGAGATTGTGATGATTTCTACATCGCCTGTGTCTTTTGGGATTGAGGATTGAATAAAAGAATACCTTTTTCTCGTTTTCAGTGACAATCCCGCCAAGTAGGGAAGTCTTTCTCAACAGTCGAGATTAAGTCACTCGCCATTTCTCCATTCGAATTACGTTTCTATTCTTCGTTTAGCATGCGAGGAACGATATGTTGGCGCACACTATGCATAGTAAGCGTCTTGGTCAGTATCTGTTGACATATGTCATCGGATATCCCAACTGATTCCGCTATTTTCGTTATTCTTTGAATCATGTATTTATGTATCCCCACTGAAACTTTTTCAATGTTTTTAGTTGTGCGGGAAGACTGCAGACTTCCAGAGCTTTCGTCATCTTGGATACTTTTCCTTCCTGTCTGAAATGTCGTTGCGACTCAAAACCTTGCATTCACGATAGTGCATCACTGCCGTACACATGCTTCATGACTTAGTAAGACTCTATAGGTCTCTTTCTCAGACGAACATAAAATTTGATATTCATTCTCGACTATTTAAACAACAATTATTTCATTCGCCAATTATTAAATGCATCATCCTACAAAATACGACGCCATGGTGAGCCACCGACCGTGTGATTTAGAACAAACATCTTGTAGGAAAAGGAAAAACGTTGTACTAAAGAAACGGTATCGAAATGCTCTACTGCAAAAAATTTCATGTTATAGGCTCAGTCCGGGAACTTTTGAGTCCTAACTGGTATTTAGGATATAAGATAAGCACCATATATGATGGTATACATTCATTCTGACTATTATTGTAACTAAAAATAAAATATTTTAGAGTACACTTCTATATCCTCAATACTTTAAATTTATTAAAATTTCATACAAAAATACATAAAAGCAGATTTTTTTCTCACATGAGTGAAACTTTAGAGACATTGTTCTCTAATTAACAACAATCATTTCATTTACAACATTTCTTTCATTATCATGAAATACTCTAAAGAAATGCTTCTCAAACTTTCAGTATTTGCGACCCAATTTTCAATCATAATTTTTATAGCACTTCCCTCCATACATTAACAAAGTACTCAATACAATTAAAATATAGCTTAAAGCTAAAGTTATAATATGACCTTACTTATGAAACGCACAAATTATAAAGATAAAAATTAAATTTTGTAAGTTTCTCTTTTAATATATATTTTAAGTAATAGGATAAGTATTATGCCACTTTTTTCCTTCCTTATTTTCAAATTGGAACATAATGCAATAAATATGCATTGTGTGTTTTATTTTTTATGTCAGAAATGTATTTCGTTTTGCTTCCTATCAGAAATGTATTTTTTATATTAACCTTTATTTTGTACTTTTCTTGCTCGCACACCCTATAAGCAGGGTTATCACGCCCCTCTAAGGAGACACACACGGCAGTTTGAGAATTACTGCTCTTAAGATATAATTTTGTGTTGTTAATGTAAAAACGAGGAGTTCATTTGATAAATATTTGGAGATGGTGTGTTCACCAGAAATTATTCTTGTCATATTTTTTCGGGAGATTATCAGATGAACTTCATTTTAGAAGATTTAAAAAGGTCACAAGACGCATAAGTCCTAAAATTCCATACATCTTATATCAAATATATTTGAATAATTTCTGTATATTATAACTGTCATGGTTTTTTGTATGGTTCTATATACACTATTAGGAATTTTTACTCCCATGTTTTCGGCTTAAGTATTTAAGAATTATTTATCAAGGGAACTTATTTCTTACATCAGTAATCAACATATTAACCTAAATAGTGAAGTTACAGAAGTATTTTTAATGTTATTTATATATTTAAATAAAATTAAAATGTTAATCAACATATTAACCTAAATAGTGAAGTTACAGAAGTATTTTTAATGTTTTTTATATATTTAAATAAAATTAAAATGTTAATCAACATATTAACCTAAATAGTGAAGTTACAGAAGTATTTTTAATGTTATTTATATATTTAAATATAAAATTAAAATGTTGATTTTTGTTATTAACAAGGCTCTCTGGCTGCAACACTTTTCTTTTCCTTTAAAAGAAAGATTAAATTTTAGTTATAATTCGTTAAAAGTTATTTGAAAAAATGGTACTCGAAATTTAAGAATAATTAAACATTCGATATCCTCTTGTTCGTTTTCAATGCTTCTAAGACAGTTTAAATTATATAGAAGTTTTCAGTGTTTTGTTCGATATTACTATATGACATTTTTCTAAAAGAAATGTCTTGCTTTTATCATTTTAACTTTTTCTAAAGTCCGTGAAACTATACTTACAATCAAATACATTAACTTTTTGTGTCGATATAGCAATATACTTTACCACTTTTCATTTCTGCTGTCAAATAATTATAACTTTATAAAATTTGTAAAAAAATAATAAATCTTTATACGTTCATTCTGTTACCCCTTGATACATAAGGGAATTAGGGGTACTTGGTCTAACAGAATGTTTGAAAGGCACAAAGTCATAACATTTGACAATTTTTTCAACTACAGCCAAACTGATTAAAGTTTTACGTCAAGGTATAACGTTTATGCTCTGGGTACTATAAGGACTAACCGAAATGCACTCTCCTCAAAGATGAAAAAAAAGTGAAGCTAGAGAAAAGAAAGCTGCAATAGCAATGTAAAGAAGATGTTGCAGTCATAAATGGATGTATAACAAACAGGTAATTATTCTTACAGGGGCAGACAATACAAACTGTACTACAGCAATATCAAGGAAGAACAGGAATGGGTCCCTTATTTAGGATATGTATTGCGTACCCGACTACCCTAAAATCATGATTTTTTTCAAAAATTGACAAATTTTTTTCATGATTATATTTTATAAGCCATCTTATTAGCTTAATAATAATATCAAGGTTTTTTTCCCCTTCCACTAGAACAAAATCTACAAGCGTTTTAGTAAAAGCAGATGCCATAACCTTACACAAGATTTCAAAACTTAAAACGCGTTTTACTCGAATTGTATTTTTTCAAAAAACTCAAACGGGAACAGCAATTGCTCAAAAAGTTTTCAAAATAATTGGCTGAAATTTTTTGCTTCTGTTCTGCATAACAGTAGAAGTGTTTTGACTTTCAGATATATCAATCATTGTTTTAATTCAAAATTTACAGTTCCTTATGTGAATATAATCATTGATTTTTAAAGAAATTTCATATAATAGCTATGATAAAGTGCTCTAGTTTTCGCAAAAATTAAAATATCTCTTATCCTGAAGGTCACTTCAAACATGAATAACAAAGTAACACATCAAAATTGAAAAATTCAGAATTTGTTCATAAAATCTATGTACATAGCGGGGTCCGTTTATTTAATGTTTTGTACATATTTAATAGTTATTTCCCATTTTAATAATAATATTTTTTTTTCTTTTTCCAATTTTAGGACTTTTTACTTAAAATATACTAAATATATATAAAAATCACAAAGAAAATCCCCGTATCTCCATCTTTTCAAAAAAAAGTTGTCGCAAGTAGTCGGATACCTTGTATTTTACCATTCGAGGTAAGATTCAAAAGTTCCCTACTGAGCATATAGTGTGGAAAAGTTTTGCAGTAGACGACTACGATAATATTTCTGTGTTACTGCATTCTTTTCCTTTTCTAAAAGAAGTTTGTTCCAAATCACATGTCGGTGGTTCACAATGGAGTATATTTTGTTGGTGGATGCATTTTGAAAAAAATCGCGTTTGTTGAGCAGATTTTGAATATTAAATTTCGTGTTCGTTTTTTGAAAAAGTGCTACAGAGCCATATGAAATTTTGAAGCATGTGTAAGGCAGTGATACATCATCGAGAGCACAAGCTTTTGAATTTCGTCGATATTTCAGTGAAGAAAGAGGAAGTGTCGAAGACGACAAATGCTCTGTACGTCCACAGACTTACCGCACCGCTAAAAACTTCTAAACTGTTTCTACGGTGGTACGTAAGAACATGCTTCAAGCAACAGCAGAATCACTTGGAATACCCTAGGCTACATGACAATGGATACTGACTAATGATCTTAACATGCATAGGGTGTGTAAAACACCATTATCTGCATGTTAAACGAAAACCAATCTGCAGATGAAATTAAAAGTGCATCGCAGACTGAATTAAAGGGCATGGCTAAAAATGAATTCCAGAAATGTTTCGATGACCTTTACAAGCCATGGCAAAAATGCTTTGTTACTTAAGGGTTTTATTTCGAAGGAGGATGTTATTCAGTAGTTTAATTTGTAATATTATTTTAAGTGATAGACTCAGTCCGGGAACTTCAGAATCCTACTATGCATATAATGAGATTATGAAAGGTGTAGATCCTTTTGATCAGTTTTGAGAACGTTACGCGATTGGAAGACGCTCTCAGAAATGTTGGTATTGAATTTTTTACTTCATCATTGATTTGGCAAACTTCTATTCTTTTATTTTAGAGAAATTATTTAGATGAGATATATGCTCAAGGAACTAAGATTTCGTCTTAGGTTATCATGAGAATTGACATCAGAATTTTCAAATCGGAAACGAAACAGACCACTTCTAAGTTTCCCGGATATTTTAAAAATGGTTATAGATGAAATATGGTTGAATATGGTAAACATATTCCAATTTCTTTGAGAGATACATACATGCACCGTTGTTTGTAACCTAATAAAACATATCAAAAGAGAGCACGACATGTGTGCCAAACTTGTGATATTCTATGATTATATCCATATTTTCTAAATTTTCTTGGTAAAAATGTTGTAATTTGTCATTTATGAATTAAGAAAAGTTATGTAATGTACAGTTAATTATTCCAGCTTATAGAGTATTTCAAAATACATTTTTATAAGTATCAAAAAATTTACTTCCTTTTAATAATGACCAAAGGGCAATGCCAAAAATGGTTTTAAAATCAAATTGATTTTATCTAATAAAGGCTAAATAAGTTAATTTTCTTAAATCAGTCTAAATTCTAAAAAAAAATGTTTTAATATATCTTTAACGCGGCCAAACTGTGTGTTGGCTATGGCCCTCGGCTTATAACCGAGTGGGTTCGGGTTCGAATCCCGAGTAAGTCATGGTTGTATCTTCTTTGGGAAAAAAAAGTCGGTCTTTCGCCTGTAATGGATTCCCGTTTCGAAATGAAAAGCAGCACACCCCTTCTTGTTATATATTGTTATTATCATCAGTAATAAATGTGTATATTCTTCTGCTGTATTTTATGCTTTCTGTTCTTCTCCACTTGTATTTCATATGTTCTCAGGATAAAAAAATCACATGTCATCAACAACAATATATATTTACCCAGAAATGAATGGCCCATTAAAGCGTTACGTATGTCGTAAAACCTACACTATTAAAATTCAAAGGTAAACAAATATATCTTCTCTCATTGTATATATCTATGTGTGTCTTATTTTCTCACGAACCACATGGTGCAGAAATTCGCCAAAGGTACCACAAAATAAGAAATCCTCCAAGGAAGCCGATTTGACCATTTATATTCCGATATTGCAATTATTTGAAAATATATTAATTAAAAATTTTAAAAACATTCAACCCAATATTCACCTGCATTGTTTTAATTACGTTATTGTTATAAAAATGACGTAAGATTTGGCATTGAAATCGATTTACAGCCAAACTGGACAAACCGGTTTTTCATTGTTACAACAATGCAAGCGAATTGTCCTTTTGATCATTCTTAATTAATATATTTTCCAATAACTGTAATTTAAGAAATTAAATGGTCAAAATAGATTCCTCGGATCATTTCCCATATCTTCGGATCTTTGGCAACTTTTTGCGTTTACCGTTTCTTGCGAAGATAGCTGTACATAAACAGATACGTTGGTTTACGTATGAATTTACGAACACGCATCCAAAAATAAGTTGTCGTTTATTAAGAAGCAGCAGAAATATAAGTCTGTAGAAGAGCATGAGAATGGCTCAATCATTGTCGGGGTGTTTTTTCGTGGCTTTGTTAAGGATCTTTGGTGCGTGTTCCAAACTCTTTCAATGCACTTCTTTGCGTAGTTGCTGGGTGATCAC